CTCGTCCCAGCTCGCACTTGGCCTAACTAGGAGAGATGTCGCGCTGGTTGCTACTTAACGGTGCTCGAGTTCAACCAGCCCGGGAACCCCGAGCTCTCCCATACTGGCGGCCTCATGTTCCACCGGCCTGGGGACTTCGGAGCTAAAGGTGCATTCTGCGACGAAATCTGCCAAGGCTTGGGCCTTGATAGCAGTTCGCGGTTTATACTGGAGTTCGTACTCGCTGAGCTCGACGGCCCACTTTGTCAACCTTCCCGAGACCTCGGGTTTGAGCAAAACTTGCCTCAGAGGTTTGTAGGTAAGGACAACGATGGTGTGAGCTTGGAAGTACGGGTGGAGCTTTCGAGCTGCTATGACCAGTGCATAGGCTAACTTTTCTATCTCTGGGTACCTTGTCTCTGCTCCCTGCAACACTTTACTAACATACTAGACGGGTCGTTGGACCCGATCTACTTCTCTTATTAGTACCGAGCTGACCGCCTCATCACTTGCCGAGAGGTATAGCTCTAAAACATCACCTACTTCGGGTTGGGTTAAGACTAGGATGCTGGCGAGGTGCCTTTTGAGCTCGTCGAACGCGAGCTGGCACTCTTCGGTCCATTCAAAGCCTTTGCCTTTTATGGCCTTAAAGAAGGGTAGGCAGCGATCTGCTGACTTGGACATAATGCGGCTCAGAGCGGCTAACTAGCCGTTCAGCTTCTGGACCTCCTTTAATTTTCGGGGTGGTCTCATTTCTAGGATGGCTTTGATTTTGTCCGGGTTGGCCTCAATGCCTCGCCAGTTAATGATGTACCCTAGGAATTTACCCGAGGTGACACCAAAGACACACTTGTTGGGGTTTAGCTTCATATTAAATCTACACAAAATTTTGAAAATTGAATGTAAATCTTGTATTAACTCATGTGAAAATTGGGTTTTGACAACCATATCGTCTACATAACACTCTACTTTTTTTCCAATTAGTGGCTCAAACAGTTTGTTTACAAGTCTTTGAAAAGTGGCCCCAGTGTTTTTCAACCCGAAGAGCATGACCTTGTAACAGGCGAACTCGGTTATGAAAGCAGTTTTCTCTTCATCCGCTGGGTCCATCCCGATCTAATTGTAGCCCGAATAGGCATCCAGGAAGCTCAGCAACTCGTCCCTCGAGGTCGTGTCCACTAGACGGTCGATCTTGGGAAGTGGGAAGCAGTCCTTTGGGCAAGCTCGGTTCAGGTCGGTGTAGTCGACGCACATGCGCCATTTATCGTTGGCCTTTTTCACCAGAACGGGGTTGGCCACCCAACTCGGGTAATGAACCTCCCTGATAAAATCGGCTGCAAGGAGCTTCCCGACCTCCTCGTCGACTGCCCTCCATCACTCTGGGCTAGGTTGCATTTCTTCTGTCTAACGGGCCTAACTACAGGATTAGTGTTGAGCCTATGAGTTATAATGTTGGGGCCTATGAGTTATAAGACCGCAGGGGTTCTTCAATAGAAGCATCGATCTGAAGTACTCGGGCTGGGTCCTCTGCCGAAGCCAGGATGGGATGGTCTCTTCGATAGGTGTGGCTCGCTCTACGAACTGCTCCGCAGGTCGTTCTATAATGATTTATTAAATCAAAGAAAGAATGTTGACATAACGTGAAAGAAATCTAAAAAAGGGAAGTCACTTTAAGGGGAAATTCTTTTTTCGGATTTTAAGAGGGGGGAAGTTGGTCAATTCTAAAAAAGGGAACTCTAAAACAGCTAAAAGTTTGTTTGGTAAGAAGTGATGCAGCACAATCTGGGCACTCCTAACTGCCTGAGAGTTGGCTCCTAGCTGTGACGAACGGCACCTGAGAGGAAGAGGAAGGTGAAGGGTTCCTGGGGAGCTCTCCCTGAGGGAACACTCCGATGGCTAAGTTAGAACTTTGAGAAAAACTCAAAGAAGACACAGAGAGTTAAGAGTGCTGAAAGTGCTAGCTTCAATACCTTTGCTTCATGAGGGTCGGGGTCCTTTTATACTGGAGCTCGGTCACATCAGACGTAACCGCCACTGCCCTAGCTGTTACTTCTAGGGCAGGGGTGGCAGGTGCAGGCTGCTGCTACAGGCTGCTATTGCAGGGTACGGACTCATCAAGTGTGNGAGGGAACACTCTGATGGTTAAGTTAGAACTTTGAGAAAAACTCAAAGAAGATACAGAGAGTTGAGAGTGCTGAAAGTGCTAGCTTCAATACCTTTGCTTCATGAGGGTTGGGGTCCTTTTATACCAGAGCTCCACTGCCCTAGCTGTTACTTCTAGGGCAGGGGTGGCAGGTGCAGGCTGCTGCTACAGGCTGCTATTGCAGGGTACGGACTCATCAAGTGTGCCATGCCTTTTAGAGATGGCTGGCAAAACGCCGCCTGGCAAGGGATCCGAGCACTGCACCGGATCCGGCAGGTACGGATGTCAGGCACGAACGGATGTCAGGCAGATCTCCCTTCAGTCTACCGAGCTACTATACACCGAACCACCTGGGGCAGGTTTGTCTTGCACCGAGGTGCCGAGGTACACCGCGGTGCCCGCATTGGAGGCGAGCCTTAAGCAAGTACGAATAGGAGTCTCGATGGTGTTGTCCCGAGGTGTTTCTCCCTCGGGACACTTAGCCAAAAGTTGGGGTGCTTCCTTCTTAGGAAGGGAGAGCTCGGAGTCCCTTAGGAGGAGCTCAGGTCCCATTGCATGGGGGAGCTCTTGGTGCTCCACCCTCAGGTTTGGGGCGAGCTGGGCCTTGCTTCTCGACGAGCTGTCACACCCGCTAAGTCGTTTGGCCGGGCCTCGGCGAACTCGCTGCTCTGAGTAGTGACCAAGCTGTCACGTTGAGTTGTCACCTATGCCAGGTCATGTCCATGTGCCCCCATGCTACGAGGTCGGGYCAAATCACCCAACATCAATTGCCCCCCACTCCCCATGCTAGGGGTGTTGACCTAGCGCGGGGAGTCCGTAGTCTGCCGGGTGGATTTGGCTCGGAGTCCAAACTTTCTTGTCTGCCAGCTCATAGGTTGGACCAGTTTTCTGCTCGGTTCTGCCAGGCGCAGCTCGGGTTGCGTACGGTCTACGCACGGATGTCACACGAGTTATAGGCTCCACGAACGTCAAAAAACGCACTAAATTGATTTCCCCTTGAAGGTCGCGCAGCCGGTTTTCATGAGGACCGTCAAATCGTTTCAATCTCAACCATTGATACCCGCATATAGTGGCTATAAATAGCGGGGGTATATAAAATGATTTGGGGTTTTTTAAGCATAATGGCAATTTGCATCAAAATTCTACACCCAACTATCTCATCACAAGCCCACAGCCCAATACCAACACACCTTACCCAATATCCAACTAGTATGTCGATTCAAACCCACTTAGTCGGCCTATAGCAAGTGTTTCAAATAGTGACGATCCCACAAATTTCTCCTCAGCAATATAAGACCCACATTGACGACGAGAAATGGATAAAAAAGACTGTAGCTCTACACCCAAATAAGACATGAACTCTTGAAGAACTTTTCCATCAGTAAATGTATCAATTGGCTCCAAATGGGTATATAAAATCATATACAATAATTCTATAAAGCGTGTCACCAAATGATACACACAAACATGCCAACGGCTCCATAGAATGCTACAAAGCATGAATTGTCACCAAAGGATACAAACAAACATGCCAACGGCTCCACAGAATGTTACAAAGCACGTCTTTGGCAAACTTGTTACCGTCGTGCTGCTGTCGAGAGATGGTGACACGCGATATGCAAGCTACACAAATTGTTGTATTGGTCTAAATTAAAGCAGGCCTCACAAAATTGGTTTGTAAAATCTGCCAATGGTTTTGGTCCATGTTGATTTAATCATCACAAGAAATAACTTTTTTGTATTTGTCGTCAAGGACCTTGGAGCATATTCACAAGCTAGCATCTTCCTAGCTCTTATGTAGTTATGTCAACAAGAAATATGCACTTGGGACATTCTTAAAGGAAGTCGATATGCTTGCTTATTTTCAACCCCAATTTCTTCCCTGTGTACTTAATCTGGGTCTGGGTCGACTTTACACTGCACCGGGTCTGGGTTTTTGGGTCGGGCCTGTTCAATTTTTGACAAATTACTGACCCAATTTCACCCAAATTGCACCCCTATGGCCCTATCCACAAGTCCTCCTCAAGTGACCTCAAATTATGTGCCTATTGCAATTCTGATTGGGTTGCATGTCCCATGACAAATCGATCGATTACAGGGTATTTCACCACTTTCGGTTCTTCCCCATTATTCTGGAAAATAAAGAAGCAGCATATATACCATGTCTAGATTATTTGCAGAAGCYGAGTATCATTCGATGAAAGCTGCTACAAGTGAACTATATATATGGCTTAGACAATTATTTTCTAATTTGGGATTGCACTGTATTGGGCCCATAGAGTTGTAATGATAACTAAGTCACAACATAAACAAACAAAGCACATTGAAATAGATTATCATTTCAGTGGTAAGAAAGCCACGTTGCAAGTTATAACCGGCCAACATTTTTGAAGGGGGTGTTACATTTTTGCCAACATATATGGCAGTTGCTTTTGTTTTAGAAAACAAAACCATTCTACCCAAAATGTCAACTTTGACATTTCAACCATAAATAGTAATGATTAATCATGAAATGACACCTATCAATTAATTGACAACACATTTCTCACAAATTTGTATCAATCAACCCAAAACGCAGCAGCAATGCAACGTCACTGTACCAAACATCCCATTGTTTAAGGTTGCAGCAGGAGATCCATCAAGCYCCATGCAACAGCAACCGCAATATTTCTGTGTATCCACCACAGTATTTTTCATACAAGTTGATTTACAATAAGAACTGCCATTTTATGCCATTGAAATCTGGAGCCAAGCTGTAGAAATAAGAATATAAACAAATTTACGTATAATTTTCAAAATATTATAATAATCTACAATTACCAGTTCAAACAAATAGAACTGGGCATTTCAATCCTAAGAACACTTTCAAGTTCGTGTCTGAAGCAAAGGTTACTACCCATTTACAATAAAACGAATGAAAGAAAAATTACAACAGGCCAGCAGATGACAATGCAGGCTTGGTACCTTGCAGGTATGCATACTGCCAATTCAGGGATAATTGTCATAATGATAAACATTATTGTCATAATGGTAAACATTATTCTCATAATGGTAAACATAATGAGGTGGGGAAGGAGAACTTAGTTCACTCATTGAGGAGGTGGTCCTAGGAGATTGGTTGGTAGTCATGTGAGATTGGTTCTTATCTACTCTGACTTCAACCAACTCTACATCCTCGAATGACTGGAAAATAGGGTGCAGGTATGCATCAGCCAAGTAAGCTTTTAGATTGAGGTTAGGTTCTGAAGCTCGCTCCATTGTATCCTTTGCCATGGCCTCCTGAAAAATTAAATAAAAACAACATAGTAGTTCATGAAAATTTAGGAATGGAATACCCATTTGAAGTATTAAATACAAAACAAGAGATAATGCCTAAGCCAATATTCTTAACATAAAATAATTTGCAATTTATTTTACCACACATAGACCATCTCGGTTATGGTAAAATAGGAAATTTTATCATTAAAAGATGGAACAATTAATTTTAAAACTTGAGAATGGACAAAGCTCCCACAACTTTTCGACCTTCAATGGTGAAGAATCGAAAACATATTGAGCCACAATGCTATGATATATGTTGAGCTGTGACTTGAATTTCAGTTTGTGGCCCGCTCCATGATCCGACCCCAAGGTTCTTTTGTGGGAAAGAATCTTAATGGAAAATTTCATCAAGGTTTGTAATGGATGTGGAGGGCTTGAGCCAACGATAGCCTGAAGCCCACCACTAACCTCCTCCGGGTGTAGTGGATGTGGGGTTGGTTACAAGAATCATTTTCCACCAWTCCACYATGTTCAGTGACATATCCATTGGTAAATAATGGGCTCCCAATATTTCTGACTACTTCAACCAACGTCCTTTCTGACCTACCCATAGCTCTTCTAGACCTTTCAACTTTCAGCAGTTCACTTCTCACTGTTGTTATAGATGATCTTCTCAGAACATGACCAAACTATTTTAGTCTACTTTCACTCATTTTATCATCTTTTAGGCTACCAACTCTTTTGTATCTTTATTGGTGAAAAACTTTCTAACCAACAGAGGAGGTCCTATGAGTATGCTCATTTCTGATCCTAATCCTCCTAGTTTTCCCACTCATCCATTCCAACATTCACATTTCTGCTACACTCATTTCTTTGGACATGTTGTTTCTTGACTGCCCAACACTCTGCTCCATACGACATTTCTGACCTAATGACCATTTTACATAACTTTGTTTTTGGCCTATGTGGTATTCTCCTGTCACATACAATTTCCYTTTCCCATCAAAATGTGGTGCAAATGAAACAAAAATATGTCAAGCATGCTAAGGAGGGAGCTTACCTCCAGTGGGTACTTTCTGAATGCAGGTTCAAATCGACTTTTGCAGTATTTGTGGAACCACAGAGTTAATATGGGCAGTACAACAAGTAGAGGAGTAGAATTAGCAGCCYTTTTTGTGCTGAGGAGGCCCATTAGAAGAAGATGAGATATCAACAAGCTTGCAATTATGCGACTGTGGACATGTGGCCAGAATGCAGCTACACTCTCATATTCTTGATTATACACATTGATAATCTGAAAGATCCAACAAGTGAGAGCTCCATCACCAATGACTCAAAGCAAGAAAGAATTAAAATAGAGAATATAACTTGAAAAAGATGAATTATCATAGAAGTGTGTCAACAAATTATTAATTAGCTTATCTTCCCAGAGTAACAAGTCCAAATCTCTATTGTATTCAAAAAATTTCAACCATGTCCAGCAAGTATTTTGCTGGAACTGCTGCATCAATAAGCACCATGAAGATACATCATGAAGGGAAAACAAAACCCCAGCATGTGATAAGTGAGTAACCTGATGGCGGTAAACAAGGTATGCAAAGCCAAAGAAGACAAGTATGAAAGGAAGAAGGATTGGAGTGACCACGGCATACACAATTCCAAGAAGGAAATATAGTTGGAGTGTCGGAAGAGTCTCTGGAAGCCCCACACTTCCAGGGTCCATTGCCTTCTCTCTGTCTCTTTCTGTTTTCACCAGGAACATGTTCTTGAGGTGATATATTACAAGTGACTTCAGTCTTAGAATTTCACTTGCAATGCCAGCCCATCCATCAACCATTATATATGTAATAAAAAAGGTGGCCTTCATGGGTATTGAAACACCAATGGTTCTAGGGATTCTGCAACAAGGACAAAACTGTATCAACCACYCAAATCTTTGTGAGATAGCAGTTGGAGAAGAAAGATGTAATAGGAAGACAGATGGCTCTCTTATGGACTACATGATGTCTCCACCATAAAAAAATTTTAAAAATGAAATAAATTCAATTTTTGAAGCTCTGTCAGAAACTTGTGAATTCAAATGTTTCAAAATATATGATATTCAATTGACCTAAGATCACCACTTCTTTAATCAATACATTACTATTAAATTGTGAAAAGAGGGGTTGTACTACATAGCCAACTCACTTTGTTCATGTAAAGCAGTAGCACTGTATTATTTGTTCTGTTTTTCTTTTTGCTCTTTCTTAGGCCTAAATAGGCATTCTTGTGGTTCTATATATAAAATCCCACAAACTAAAATATATATAAGGTTTAACTGCTAAAAAAATAAAAGTTTTTTTTGGGGGTGGRAGTAAACTATTCTGGGCACCTATTTATACTTAAATTATTGTATCCTACATTCTTGGTATTAACTTGGAAGCTTTTTTGTTTCCATCAGCTTTAGTTTGAGAAAAATTCAAATAAAATTGTACTAGTATTTTATAAGTGCAATTCACAACTAAAACAGAGGGATTCTAAAAGCCGCACAATGACATATGTGCTTGAATTGAGGCACCACTAACAAAAAAAACTTAAAAAGAAAACTTAATATATAACAATATGAAAATCTAAATTCTGAAAGAAATGAAATCGTACTAGCTCAATAAGTTAGAGCACCATATCATTAACACAAAGGTTGTATCCTTAAGGTTAAATTCTACATATTATAAATTATTTAAACTCCAAAAATCATCAGTACAACCTACTACATGGCAAATAACCAATTCAAACATTAAATTCAAGGCTAGTTCATCAAATTATAGCAACAAGTTGGTGAGGCACACCCAGAAAATGAGCCTCCCCTGTGAAAGGAGCACTTTCTAAAATAGCTTTGTACTAGGGTCCATAAGCATTCTCTGCACCAATACTCTACCAGTCCTTGATCATATGGGATACAAATGGAACACAAAAAAAAAATGTAATGATTCTTTTTTCATAGTTACCATGAACAAAAAACTATTAATTCACTASAGAAGGGTAAAACTCCTTTGGTTCATTATGAACAGATAATAGAAATGGAATAAGTAGAAAGCTGTAACCTGAAAAAATAAGAATAAAAAGGAGGTAACTGAACAAGAAAAGGTGTCCCAAGCAGTAGAAGAGAAGAAGAAAAGGAGGGGAAAAGTAAAAGAGAAGGAAAGGGGAGCCAAAAATATATGGCTGCCCCATACCATTGATATTTATACTAAAACCATCAAGAAAGGTACAAGGACAAATATGCCCCTAATAGGGCCGCTGAAACAACAATTAACTAAAGCACTATGGGTCAAGGCCCAACAACTATAAAAAATAATATAAAAGAAAAAGAATAAAGCCCATGAACAACATCTATCAACAGAATACTAGCACCCATTATCCTAACAGAAATTAAAAAGAAAAAATGGTAGGGTCTATTCAGAAGGATACGGAAGATTACTGGGTGGGTGATTGATGAAGGAAGGAATCAAGTTGCTCAAAAGCTGTTCCAGTCACTATGCTTCCTAAGAAGACATTCACCAACATAAAATAGTAATATTTAGCTGATGCCTTTCTTTCAAGTGATGATATTGATAAATGACCTTCAACTTTTGACATAATCATCAGCACTGTAGGTAGAATGTACATGAAGATCTTAAGGGCTAGACCAGGAAGGAAACCCTGAAGGAATGATTTGATGATTTTCCTGCATACAAGTATCCACAGTCAATGTTTGTAAAGCTGAACAGAAGTTCAAAAAATTACTCCACAGATATTTAAAGAAGCTAGTGAAATGATTACATTGCTTATGCAAAGATATGACTAAGAAACCAAAAGGAAGAGGGTCTCAACAGATGAACTAACCTCGTCCAAAGCATGATGTTTCCTTTTCAAAAGATGGCAATGCAATCCCACAAGTGGGAGAGATAAAATCATGTATAGCATAAATTATAAATCAGTGACATTTGGCCAAATTTCTCTGAAATTTCCCAATTTTGCTAGGGGCAATGTCAAATTATCCAATAATATTTTTTCCTRAAATCTCTGATATATTTATGTGTCAACAACATTTTCAATTTAATTGATAGAATACACATTTAAGGTTTAAAAGTCTAGAATATTAGTAGAAATTTTTTGATATTTCACTAAACCATCATAGTTTTTGAAAATCTTTTCCTAAAAGAACAAATGGCTTTCAGTGATGATACGATTGGTTTACTATTTTGATATGAATCACTTACTAAGTCRGTATAATTCAAAAGAAAAAGAAGGAACTAAACTACAGAAGGGGATTCTCAATCTAATCAAAATGTAYAATGACAAAAAGGAGAAAACCCAAAATGCAAAGTAAATGACATAAAATAAATAATAAAGAGAAGATAGATAAAAGACTAAAAGGGAAACAAAGAGAAAGATACCTCTTGAAGYCTCTCATAATTCTTCTAAAGTTTCCTTTAAGGTTTATTAATAAATTCCATGTTTTTAGAAAATTTCCTTCACTTTTTATATTTTCCAGCTCTACATGGAAAAATGTCCATCTATATTGAAATTGCAAACCATGTTTGTATTATAGGAAGAGTTTCATCCCCTCTATTTTCAACTCCCAAACTTCTCCCTTCCACTTAAAATCTCCACAATTTTTCTTTTTTTTTCTTTTTATTTTTTTTGGTCTTCTCTCTCTTCACCCATTGAACGCATATGTCCAATCCATCTGTCATAGATCATACATGCCATGTGACTAGTAAGCAATAACATTAAGTATTAGATGTAAAATACCTTGTAAATCAAGGGTAATAATAAGAGAATGTGGATAATTGAAATTTTCACTTAATGTTAGTGCTTTTAAAAGTTTACATCTCATATGGCTCAAAGCCTAGTGATGATCCAAGTACAAGCACCACAACTAATACTAGGACTTCAGACAGCCTTTCTTTGGATGAATCATGACCAAGTGATGAAGGGGTCGAAGAAAGGAAATAACCAATAGTGAAAGAAACCATTTTTCTTCATGGAAAAGAAACCCACTTTGTTCTGATTCCTCATTGGTTGTTTTGAATTTTTCTATTTTTGAGTTCTTTAAAATTCATTTTCTAGGTTTTTGGTGTCTTAGGGGTAGGATTAAGTTTCATCTTCTACACATTTACTATTCTTGGTAGAAACCCAAACTATGATTTATGGTAACTTTTGGATTTACTATTTTTAGTAATTTCTATTGTCCTTACAATAAGTTAGTTTTAATTAAGATTAAAATGAGTTATTACAGTTATTTTTGGAGTCAGAGTCCCTATTTGATAGTCTTGGTAATTTGTTTTGAGTAAGTTTCTTAATTGAAGTTGGAATCTGTAAAGGGAGATCCAAACCCTTATGATTAGTCTATAAATAGAGTCATTCTAGTTGAAATTGAAGAGGGGAATTAATGAAATAGAAAGTTTATTCAGAGTTATCTGTGGATAATAGTGTATTTTCTCTTTTGTTTTTCTAAACATGCAATCTTTCTTCTCTTTCTCTTCTCCATTCAGATCTGGATCTCTTACCCTCATAATTCAGATTCTTAATTCTCCCTCTTCTTCCCACCACATTCACCCTAGTACGACTTCTCTCCTTCCATCCTACATCACCAAGCCTTGGATTGTCCAATGCAAAGTCATGAAGTCACGTTGTAAATTTTTCATTAGGTGCATATCCTACTGCATTGGGACCACAACATCCATGAGTGAATCTTTTTGCACATCTTGCATATTGCATATTTGTATTAGTAATAATGACTCATCACCTACAAAGGAGAAATAAAAAGCTTATCTTAATTCTAAACCATCACACGTTTTCCAACCACACACCAATGGTTCTAAACCATCACACATTTTCCAACCCATGTATCTAAGAAACCATTTTCCTCTATAGAGCACCCCTTTACCCACCAAATCTCCAGAGCAATTTTCCAAATAAAACTACAAATTCTATTACTTAGCCCACCATACTCTTTATTGTACATACCCATTTAGTTTGGATTAAAAAAATAAAGAGAGATAAATAGAAGATCTGTAACAACTTTCAAGTTTAAATTTCAAATATATATTGCAACATTCAAGTTTAAATTCCATTTTTTAAACCTCTGCAGTTTCATTGAAAATAATGTGGTTTGGAAGTAGTGCAATTTCTCATAAAATATAAAGGCACCAAGACAATAAAGAAATTACTTCTTTGAAAGGTACAAGAAAGAAATTACTTACAATTCTATGACTGGCCTGAGCCATGGAGCAACCCTTTCAAGACCCTCAAGATTTGCAAGTGACTGGACAAATGCAATGGGTATCATGTAGAAGAAAACCAAAGCAAACACTGACACTGATATTACAAGCTTTCGGATACTTAGAGACACAAATGGTATAGCAAGATTCTTCCAGTACACATCACGGGGTTCTGGAGCCCAATTAGTAAGCCATAGTGTGGGATTCTTGCTCTGCTGTGTCTGTGCACATACAGCAGCTCCCCATCTCGAGTTGAATGAGACAAAAGCCACTGGCATGATAGCCTTTGGATCTTTGAGAATCTTCGCGCGTTCTAATGCCATCTGAAGAACAACACAAGGATAACATATATACACAATAGAAAATTGATCAAAAGGATTCTTGAGATCATTCCATCTTTAAATCAAGTTTCCACAGTAATATGCATTGGCCCTATGTGATACAAAAGCATTCAAAAAATAATAGAGACATCATATTTAAAATAAAAGAACCAAGTATGATTAGTTTCTATAAATGTAATAAGTGCCAACTTACCTTTTTATCAAGGTCCTGCATCTTTTTCTTGTAGAACTCAATAGAATCCACTCTTTCACCCCAAAGCCCAAGAAATCCTGTCTGAAATGTGAAGAGGTACATAAGCTACTTGTTAAAGTTCCACAGAAACATAAAATTTTAACACCATCTACTAGCTTTTATGACTATATGGTTATCCAAATAAATTTGAAACATTCTAATTATATACCCTTCTAGTTGGCCTCTTGTCTGGATGACGTTCATACTTAAGTTGGTTATAGTCCAGCCAATTTTGGAGCCTTTCCCTTTTCCTTACAAGTCTGGCAAATTTGTTTGCATTATAGACAGCCTGAAGTAAGGTATTAGTACCCCTTTCAATAAGTTACACACACGCAGATACACAAACAAAACAACAGGAAATGTAATACCTGGTGACCAAGATAACTGTTTGGATGATTAGTTTGGAAAAAATGATCCACGCTTTCTGATAGTGAGTGACCAGAAACATGAGGCACATTTCTGACCACTACCTGCAGAATATCCAGATGTAAAACAACATTGCATTATCAACTTTCAATTAATAGGGAACTAGATGGTATGATAAACTTCTGATAATGTACAAAACAGGTGTGCAATAAGTGAATAAGAATACATATTGATTAATTCATATACAACTTCTCGTCAATATATAAATTGCACAATTTTTGCAAAAAAAAAAAAAAGGAATAACAAATCGGAGTAGGTCATCATTGSATAAGGATTATAGATACAATAATCTACCCTTTAGATTTCAATTTTCAAGTTGTGCCTATAAAAAGGGGGAGCAATGTTGTAATTGTACATATAAGCCTCTCTTATAAAGTACATGGCCTTTCATAGGTGGAGGTTGACCAAGTCTAGGTACCCCTTAGAATTTTTTCTTGTTTTCTCCACTTGTGGTTTTGGTTTGACGTTTGAGTGAACCCTTGAGAACTTCAATCTCTCTATAGTAATATATGGCATCAAAACAAGGTTGGGATATTTGAGAATATGTGGCTGACTCACCCGGACTTCGTGCATCAGATTGGGGAGTGGTRGAGAGAAGAGTTAAGAGGGGTGAAATGGAAGGGAGTGAGATTCCACAAAAAGCTGAAGAGGTTGAGATCCAAAATTAAGGAGTGGAACAGGGAACATTTTGGAAGAGTGGAGGAGCAAAAAATTAGGTTATTGTCTAGGATTGAGGAATTAGATTCCAAAGAAGCCCAGAGGATGATGAGTGAGCAAGAAAGGGTGTTGAGAAGAAACCTAAAGAAGGATTTGGAAGAGGTCCTTTTAAGAGAAGAAATTTGATGGAGGCAAAAGTCAAGACATAAACAGATTAAGGAAGGGGATGGGAACACAAAATTTTTCCATGCGCTGGCCAATAGGAGGAGAAGAAAAAATTTTGTGGCCAAGTTAGAGGTGAATGGGGAGGAAGTAACAAATCAAGATGAGATAGCAAGGTTGTTTGTGGATCACTTCAAATCAATCTATAGGAAACCTTTGAATAATAGGCCAACATTGGAAGATTTGGATTGGACTAGGATAACAAAAGAACAAGCAAATTGGTTAGAAAGGGATTTCAGT